GCTTCACCACCCAACGGCATCAGCGGTGGCTCAATCTCGACATCGCAAACAACACTAGCGAGTGCGTCCGCTAGGAGGTCGCGAAGTTCATTGTGTCTCTGGGTAGGGTATCCCCCGCTTGGGCACGTGAGGGCGTGATGAACTGACATGTCTTGGCCACAAACACAGGATAATGATATGCCATCAAGCGGCAGGCCATACCTCAGGCACAATGCGTCTCGAAAATCAGACTTGTTGAATATAGTTAAAGGAAATGAAGCCGATGGAGGCGTAACCAGCCACGTTGACACACCGCCGTCACCCGCGACATCCACTAGTAGGCGCTGCTCATCCGTCAGAGCGGGCCTGATCTCCTCCAATGCAGCATTGTGCTGCGCCCGGCGTTCCCGGCGAGCCTGCGTGGCCAAACCCCTGGAGGCAGCGATGATATCGGCAACAGGACCGTCGATAGCATCAGGACCATCGACAGCACCAGTCAGCACGCAATCTACCATGGGCATTATCGACGTCCGGCAAAGGAGGTACTCAGCCTCCGCACGCAAACTGCCAATGCGGATAGCCAGCCCTCCATTCCTCACAGGCATTGCAAAGAGCTGACGGAGTACACCATCAGCCGCAAGAGGATGGCCTGTCAATGCTGGCAGCAGATGTTTGTTGATGACGTCATCCAGTGGCGTATACAGGACAGGGTCCACAAAGACTGCACGCTGCAGATAGGTCCAACGGGACTGCAGAGAGGCAGAGAAGACGCGAAAGGCCGCCTGAGGCTGGGTGACAGCCAGACCAGCAAGGCGCCTAACCAATGTGGACAGTTCCTCAACACGGCTCTTCACAAAATTCTCTCGGAACTGTTGGTCTCCAATGGCCCCGCCAAGGTAACGAACGCCGTCGCTCCGGATACGGACATCAGTGCCGTCAAATACCTCCTGGGCCCTTTCCATTAAATGTGGACGGACGAGTAAAACCGTCTTCATGGCATTGGGGTGGTAGCCATACCGGGGCCCCTCCTCCACGATGCAATCCCAATACCCACGCAGCGGCAGGAGCTCTCCGGCTGCGGCATCGTCATCCGCGTACCAAATCTGGCTGGTGCTTGGAAGTCGACGCGACAGCCGAGATGCCAGGGGCACAGTCGCGAGAGCGTAGAACGCCATGGCAAGAGGATCCCCTTGGCATGTACCCTCCCGGGAATAAATGACCTCTCCGCCATTGAGGTATAGAGGGATGTCGGCCTGGTAGGTGTTAATGAAAATTCGCCCAGCGGCAGGACAGATTCTTGGAATGTTGTGTAGCGCCGCGGCCCTGTTCAGAGAATTGAAGGCGTTGGACGCATCCACCAGCAGAATACCTTGAGTCGTCTCGCGGTCATAGAGGCCGGTCAAAGCCTGCACCCCGACCTCGCAAGCCGACGGGACGCCGACGCACAGCTGATGAGGAGCAGTAACCGCAGCCACATCCCTCTCGATAACCGACATGATCACTTTCCCGATCACGCGGCGAAACACCTCCCCGATGGCTATAGGCCTTACCCCAGGCTGCTTATCCAATGGAATGAGCCTTGCTGCCAGGAATGAGCGGAGATCCCGCGGCAATGGAATGAGCCTTGCTGCCAGGAATGAGCGGAGATCCCGCGGCTCAATTGCCTCAGTGCAAAGACGCTTGGCAGCACGAGCCAGAGCCGAGCACAGGTCGTCAGAAGCTGATGTATACATTGAGGCCATCCGACGCCAGGCAGCGGAGTCAAGGCCTGACGGACCCGCTGCCCCCTTCATAATCATGCAGGTCTTGCGGATTTGAGCTGGTGTTATTGAATCAAACAGCACATTCTCCTGGACTGTGGCTCCATCATCGAGTAGAATCTCTGGTTCTGCATCAGCCGGAACAGGATGCTTGTCTCTCAACAATTCCAGTACCGACTTGCCACCCACAATCTTGTCCAACGGGAGTACGCCACCACCACCATCATCCTCCAGGTAGTGAGCAGCTGTTCCAATGCGGTCGCTGTATACCATTTTTGCGAACTCGACGTCATCCAGACCATTAGCTGCTGTTTTGCCAGGTGTTGATCTGGGTAGATGGGCTTGAATGCACCGTGCCTCACGCAGCAATGCCGCCATGTCTCCACACATCCACCAGTCAAGACGCTTGCGTAACGATTTCTTGTTGTCAGAGGCATTGGATACTACAAAAGGCCGCTGCAAAATCAGATGGCAAGCAATGACCACAGCCGACCATGCAAAAGCTCCGTCGCGAGTTCCGCCGCTGAAAAGACCAATCAGGCGAGCTAGTTCTTTGACGAACCGACGACCCTCATCCCCGAAAGGTATGATAAACAGATTCCGTTGCCACTTGACTATTTCTGCATGGGTTTTGTCCATTAAAATGATTATATCGTCTGTTGGCAACGACCAAAAGCCATCAGGTTCTGGAGAATCACATTTCTCGGGTGGCAGATCAACAAACTGAGGCTGTCGAGACGAGCCGGGACCCACAGAGGTCGGCGCTGCAGACGCAGGTACCCGGGAAGCTGCAGTGGGGTCAGCAGAAGCACCCACGGGCGAAGGGGCGGCAGCGCAATCAGGAACCATCCCGGAGCACACAGGAACAGGCAAGTCCACCCGCAGTGACTCCCCACACGGAACCGCAGTCGCAGACACAGAAGATTGGGAAGATCCAGCGACCTCAGGCGCCGGTGCCGCACCCGAGCGTTCGGCGGCCGATGACGGGGGCCTGGATACCAAAGTCGCCCGTACCTCGCGAGGCACACCACCGGTCCGGCCAGCAGCGGACTCACCCGATCGAGAAGGCTGCACTCTTCGCCCACTCCAGGCCGGCGGATCACCAGCAGAAAGGCCTTGAGGCACCTCTGATCCACCAACATCATGCAAATCACAATTTCCAAAATTCTTGCAGCGCCCAACTTGACCTGGGTAGCAATTGAAACAGCATCGTCCATCCCTATTGCACGAACATGCTCCGCACGTTCCAGTTTTCTTGCTGCAGGAGCAACAGGGCCCAGCCGACGCCCCACGCCGTGACATGCCATGCAGCCTGCAGCACGGGCGAAGAGACGCGAGGTGTGAAGAGCACCTCGCATGTCACTCGCCACAGACCATGTGGGAAAACACTCACTGTGACTCAGCCGCGAAGCACAACACAGCAAGCCATCTCACCCACGGCCCAAAGGCGAAGGCACCGAAACTACAGCACAATGGCCGGTTCGCCAGGCAATACGACACCAGCTGGATGTAGGAATAGCAGACTGGGCAACTCCACAGCGGTAAAACCTACTGGAGCCGACTCCTGAAACCTAGACGAAAGTAATGACGTAGGATAAACAACCGGTTGACCTGGACAGTGCATAAAACAATTAAAAAACTGCGGAGGAGCAAAATCTCCATCCGCACTCTATGAGCCGCACTCTACTACTTCAGTACTACTACTACTACTACTACTACTACTACTACTACTACTACTACTACTACTACTACTACTACTACTACTACTACTACTACTACTACTACTACTACTACTACTACTACTACTACTACTACTACTACTACTACTACTACTACTACTACTACTACTACTACTACTACTACTACTACTACTACTACTACTACTACTACTACTACTACTACTACTACTACTACTACTACTACTACTACTACTACTACTACTACTACTACTACTACTACTACTACTACTACTACTACTACTACTACTACTACTACTACTACTACTACTACTACTACTACTACTACTACTACTACTACTACTACTACTACTACTACTACTACTACTCCTACTACTACTACTACTACTACTACTACTACTACTACTACTACTACTCCTACTGCTACTGCTACTGCTACTGCTACTGCTACTGCTACTGCTACTGCTACTGCTACTGCTACTGCTACTGCTACTGCTACTGCTACTGCTACTGCTACTGCTACTGCTACTGCTACTGCTACTGCTACTGCTACTGCTACTGCTACTGCTACTGCTACTGCTACTGCTACTGCTACTGCTACTGCTACTGCTACTGCTACTGCTACTGCTACTGCTACTGCTACTGCTACTGCTACTGCTACTGCTACTGCTACTGCTACTGCTACTGCTACTGCTACTGCTACTGCTCCTGCTCCTGCTCCTGCTCCTGCTCCTGCTCCTGCTGCTGCTGCTGCTGCTGCTGCTGCTGCTGCTGCTGCTGCTGCTGCTGCTGCTGCTGCTGCTGCTGCTGCTGCTGCTGCTGCTGCTGCTGCTGCTGCTGCTGCTCCTCCTACTACTACTACTACTACTACTACTACTACTACTACTACTACTACTACTACTACTACTACTACTACTACTACTGCTACTGCTACTGCTACTGCTACTGCTACTGCTACTGCTACTGCTACTGCTACTGCTACTGCTACTGCTACTGCTACTGCTACTGCTACTGCTACTGCTACTGCTACTGCTACTGCTACTGCTACTGCTACTACTACTACTACTACTACTACTACTACTACTACTACTACTACTACTACTACTACTACTACTACTACTACTACTACCACTACTACTACTACTACTACTACACAGCACAGCACAGCACAGCACAGCACAGCACAGCACAGCCCCACGCCGCATATTCCGCATTTGTCCGTGGTATGAAGAGCAAGTGGAATTATCACATCCGAAGTCATCCAGGGTCGGCTTCTTCGTACAGACCACTGGATGATGTCATAAATAATAAATATATCCCTACCTTAACTGGCCGGACGGAGGTTTCTGATTCGGAGCGGAAGCTGCTGGCATTACCAGTGCGATATGGTGGCCTCGCTATTCCTGTGGTGTCGGAGGACGCAGAGGTGCAGCGCCGGATAAGTGAAGTTGTCACTGGGCCCGTCGTGCGAATGCTGCGGTCGGGGTCCAATGAGTTGACGCCGGCTCGGGTTGTTTCCGACACCATCGTTCTCCGGAGACATCAAAACAATCAACGTGCTGAT